ACTTCATGGTATAATTAATGTTTGTAAACAAAACTAACCTTACCTCACATTCCTTCACGCTATAATTGACATTACAAAAGAAAACTTCACGCTATAATTGCCATTACTAATTGCCCAAGAATACTTCATGGTATAATTAACCTACTAACCTAACTAACCTTCAAAATCAAAATTCAAAATTGCCTGTGTGTGAATCTTCCTCGCATTGAACCAATCACGTGCAAGGTCAATCTGGTGACAAATTTAAAATACTCCTCCTGGTTTAAAAACAGAGTATAGCACTGTTACTATATAGAAAATAAATATGATAAGTCAAAATCACAGATTATACACGTTATGCAACCCAAATTACAGATTCCTGCAATTTAATTCATACAATTGTATATCTATAAACAAGGATACAATTTACTTATAAATTAATATTTAAAATGTTACTAATTATTTTTAAGTATTTACAAATATTATCTTAAAAATTAATTAAAAAAAGATCAAAAATAAGAATAAATAATTTACTTAACCTCAAAAAAAAAGTGACATATTAGAGGTTATGTTTGTTATAAAGAAGCGCGTTTATTTACAAGATTAAAATGTCTTCAAAAGAGACGATGATTGTAAGTTTGTACACCAAATTGATTAAAAATTCATTTAATTTATCTTTTAGTTAATTCCAAATGATCTTTGTAAACGTTCTGGGATATCTGCAAGTTTTATTTCAATGAATGATGTATCAATTTTTCCGTACCAATTTAAGAAGCTTCAACAAAAAGACACCACGACCCCTTTTCACCCAACAAATACCTCAATTTTTCATATTCGGAAAGAAGTGATCCTTTACAATGAAGTTTTACGTAAATTACTCAACGAATCAAATGGGATTTTCTTAAATCTGCAAACGTTAATGATTTCAAAGCGTGTTGATTACGAAGAATTGGTTCAAGTTAGTTTGCAATATCGATCCGTTATAAGAGAATGTTTGGAGAATTTGCAAGAAGATTTATTAAGAAATAACGGGGATAAAAATGAATTGGAGAGTTTAATTATGATATTTTATTCGATTGAGTGTATTTGGCATTTATGTGAGATCTTATTTATCAAGAGAACGAAAGAAAATTTTTTGTTGAATCTCCTAAATTGGGTCCAATTTCATTTCCCGAAATACGAAAAAAAATCAACGGAATTTTTGAATGAAAATAACATTTTAAACCCGGATATTAATCAAAATTATTGGGAAACGGTTATTGGAACTTTATTACAAGGAAAACTCGATGTAACATGTTCTTTATTAAATCTACACCCAAATTCCTCATCGGTTGATTTCCAAATGGTTATTGAAATTTTAAAATCATTCCCAAATCTAATATCGTCAAGGAAACATTCAAACACCGAGTTTAAGTTGCGTTTTAAACATTGGCAAGTTGAAACTCGCTCGAAACTCGACGCAAAGCTTTTCGAGGGGAATACATGTTTGGAATTTTTAATGAAGCTAACCGTTGGCGATGAAAATGCTTGGTATCAAGTTATTGGGCAATGTGAAACTTGGTACGAATTTTTAGTTGGTTGGTTAGTTTTTAATGAACCATTGGTGAGAAATTTTGAACTTGGGCGCTTAGCAAAGAAATGTATTCATATGATGGGGGTTAAAGACAAAATTAAACATTTAGATAAAGTTATTTTGGCTGCTATGGAAGGAGATATTTTACAGGTAAATTTAATTCATTAATTTTTGATTAATTTGGTTGGTACTCCTTAAAATCGTCCATCTTTTCCTAACCAAATTTAAAACTGTCAATTTCTGGTCGAAATTGAAAACTGGAAATTCTGAGTAAATGATTTTATTTTCATTAATAAAAGGGGATAATGTATAATTCAAGAATCATCATGTCGCCTAAATAATCGACATTTTTTTTAATCGACGGGAAAAGTGTAAAAAATGCGAAAAATCACTTTAAAGTTTCGACGTGACGTCACTTTTTGTGACGTCATCAACTTAAACGCATATTTTCGGGTGAAATACGATTGTGTCTTAGGTTTTCGACGCACAACGACTAAAATGTCGGTGTTTACCATCTATAAACTAAAAATAACTTAAAATCTATCCCCCTCTTTAACTTATTGGTTCCTGAGTGCTAGATGCTGTTGGCAAAAGATTAATTATTGCTATCAGAAGATTAAATATTGCTAGTAAAAGACTAAAAACTGCTTGGAAAGAAAAATATTATTTCAAAAAGTTACTTACTGCTTCGAAAATACTAGATACTGTAGAAAAAGACCACAACTTACTTGGAAAAGACTAGATACTGTTTTCAAAATACTATGTATTGCTTCCAAAACGCTAAACACTGCTGTTAAAGGTTTTGAAATACTGCTTCCAAGCCTACTTATTGCTTTCAAAGACTTTAATAATTGTTTGAAAAACTACCTACCGCTTCTAGAATGTTAGATACTGCTGGAAAAGAGTAATAACTGCTTGGAAAGAAGAGATGTGCTTCCCAAAAAGCTAAATACTGGTGGAAAAGATTACAATCTGCTTGGAGAAGACTAGATGGTACTAACAAACAACTATAAAGTGATTGGAAAGACAATATATTGCTTCCGTAAGACTACTTACTGCTTTCAGAGCGCTATATACTACTAGAAAAAATTATGACCTGTTTGGAGAAGACTAAATACTGCTGGGAGAACTATTATCTGCTTGGAAAGACAAGATAGTGTTTCTAAAAGACTATTAACTACTTTCAGATTGTTAAATATTGTTGGAAAGACTACTAATAGCTTGGAGAATGTTAGATATTGTTGGCAACGACTATTTAATGCTTTCAGAAGACTATACAGGGTAATTCAAATTCGACCCCCACCATTGGGATCTCAGAAACCAGAAGAGATACAGAAATGGTTAAATGGGGGCAATTTGGGTCCAGCCGTTTTAGTTTTTAAAATATGGCTGAAAAATTACTTCTTTATTTTTTGCCTATAACTTCTTTATTTTTCGTTTCTTCGTGAATCTGAAAAAACATTCTTAGGGCAACTTTGTATGAAAAATGTCATGACACAACTAGAAATTTTCTCCGACGTTTCGTTTTCGTGAAACTATCATCAGATTTACTATTTTTTTATAGTTATAGTCATTTTTTTGTTTTTCGGCCATATTTTAAAAACTAAAACGGCTAGATCCAAAAACTTTGTTGAAAAATGATGAACTCTAAGATTTAACATTTAACCATTTTTGTATCTCTTATGGTTTCTGAGATCCCAATGGTGGGGGTCGAATTTGACTTACTCTGTATACTGCTGCCAAAACACTACTAAGTACTTGGAGATTACAATACTACTGGCTGAAGACTATTTATTGAAACTATTCTTCTGTTGAGTGATATGTTTCTGTGTCCCTTCCATTACAGATTTAAAAATTACTGCTACAACATTCGATTCTTCTTCCATATCTTTTTAGAGGGGAGAAGGGCGCCCCTCTTTAAACGTTACATTCGGCTTCACCTAATTTACTGATTTATATCAGAATTTTGTGTAGAAATTCCACTTTGAGTTAGGTTAGTTAATTAACATTTAAACCAGTGCGAATTTCTCAAATGTCAGATTAGGCAAGGAGCAGAGGGTGGGTTGTAAATTCCTTTCTAGGACTAGTCAAAGATTAAAGAGTAAACAAGATGCGACGCTAGAGTGAGAAACTCTAGTTTTGAAAAGAGATAGAAAACATTCCAATTTAAATGTCCTGACAATAACAAACCTAACCTACAAATGTGACAGTTGGTATATTCTAACCTATACAAGCTGCGACTCTAGAGTGACAAATTCTAGTTTTTGAAAAGAGATACAAGACATTCCAATTTAAATGTCCTGACAATAACAAACTAGCGTTCAAGGTCATAAAAAATGGCAGCCCTACCTCAAAAGTGCAGACACGAAGCGTCCCATCTTGTTTACTCTTTAATCTTTGATCTAGTGTTAGTTCTAGTTTTACACTAGCACTATCACTAAAAATAACACTAGAACTAGAAACATAGAAGCTAGAACATAGAAACTAGAACATAGAAACTAGTGTTAGTTCTAGTTTTACACTAGCACTATTACTAGAACTAACACAAGATCTAGATCTAGAATCATTCGGGTTTAGCCGTCTTGAAAGACGTGCGGCTAAACCCGAATGCTTCTAGTTCTGGGTTTAGTGTTAGTTCTAGTGCTAGTGTTAAGACTAGTTTTAGTTGTTATCAGTGTTAGATTATTGTACATTTCTATTGAACTAACACTAGACCTAAAACTAGAAAATATCGGGTTTAGCAGTGCGTCTTTAGACGCACGGCTAAATTTAAAATAATTTCTAGTTCTAGTGTTAGTTCTAGTTTTACACTATAACTAGAACTAACACAAGACCTAGAACTAGAATCATTCAGGTTTAGCCGTCTTAAAAGACGTGCGGCTAAATCCGAATGTTTCTAGTTTTCGATTTAGACTTAGTTCTAGTATTAACACAAAGTCTATTGACACACAGTCTATCTAACGATAGCTAGTTAGTCGTTATGCATCGAAACCCTAAAAAAAAAGAAGGGTGTTTCATCCGTAAATATACGTTGTAATCTCACCTAGTTTAGCGAAAATAACTGAAAATACATGGTTAACATTGCTTAATGTGATTTTAACCTTCAACATTAATTTTATTTTAGGTTATGAAAGAAGTTCAACATATGAATGAAAACGGTTGGTTCGTCACCCATTTAACCGATTTATTTTATCATTCGGGTTGTTTGGATATTTTAGATAAAGGAGAAGGAAATATTGGGTAAAAAAATTCGAATACCCCAAATAAATAGAGTTAATTTAATTTTTTTAAGGTTAAGTGATCGATTACGAGAATCACAACTATTAGAATACGGAACGTTAATGATGTCGCATACAAGTTTATGGCAATTAGGACTTTCATATTTAGATTATTGCCCAACGGATGGTTTAAACACAATTGCGTTGTTATTACCTCGAATTAAATCCAATAATGAATTAAAGACTCGTAAAATTATTAAGGAAGCTTTAAAGCGGGATATGTTTGACATAAGTAATAAGATTAACCTCAAAATAAAATGACATTTATATCCGGTTTTTTTAATTAAGGTCAATCTATGTGTAAAATACAAAGTAATATTGCTTTAACACGGAAAAGGAGCGGAACCGCGTTGAATTGGGCGTTAAAATCTCAAGATGCAAATTTCGCCTCTCAAATTGCGGATAAATTTTTAACAGAGTATGTCAAAAAAGGTACATTAAAGAATTCCGATTTATTGTATAATTTGGGACCTGGAATGTTGGTTAGTGATCGGTTAACTTTTTTGGGTAAGATTTTAAAATATTTGTTTACTTTATAAATAAAATTTTTAAAAATTAGGGAAATACAGCGAATTTCATAAAATATACGCCGAAAAAAAATATAAAGAAGCCGGTATGTTACTTGTTTCGTTGATATCTTCGAGGATTACACCGAAATAGTAAGTTTTAATTATTTAACGTATTTTCTATTAATTTGCGAGTTTCAGTTTTTGGCCAACACTTTTTATAGATGCCTTACCCTTACTTGAAAGCGACGTTTTAGTATTTTCATCAAACGATACGTTCACACTATTAAATTTTTTGGAGGAAAAACTCGATATTAACCGATCTTTCGCCGCGTTAGAAAACAAAGTTGAATTAATCAGGTTGGGTTTGGCGAGGAATTTGGGGAAAAGTTTAACTTTCGAAGCTCAACATTTAATGTAATAATATGTTAGTATTTAAAAATAAAGATTTTTTTCAATTTACTTACATACGTCATTGGTTTTTCTTGTAATTAAAGATGTGGTTCTCATTTCACTTTGTTTTTGCGTTATTTCGAAATTAATTTATAAGAATTAATATTTTTTGAGGTTATGTTTTGACGTTTAAATTTTAAATGAAAATCGATACTGCCAACTTAAAATCATTTAAAGTTGGTATTAAAATATAAACAAAGTGACATAACCTCAATTTGAAACTAAATACGAATGTTACGTTATTTTTGTTGTAAAAGTAATCATAAATTAGATTTTCAACAACAAAGAATCTAATTAATAAGAAGAACATCTTTAGTGCTGCATAACGATTAAAACTAGAACTACCTAATTCTATGTCTAGTGTTAGTTCTAGTTCAATAAAAATATGCAACATAGTGATATTTTATGCTAACTAAATGAAATGTTTCTAGTTCTACTGTTAGTCTAGTTTTATTTGTTATTGATCGCTAAATTGTTGTATATTTTTATACACATGCCCTATTTTCTATGGAAATATATTTTTGTATATAGCATCTTAAGTAAAATTCACTGTATATGTACAGTCTTGGTCTTTAAAGGGTTAAAATAATTAGAGTTTAATAAAATTACTTACAGTAATGTTATTTCTTGTAATTAAAGATGTATTCTCATTATTTTGGTTTTATGTTGATTATAACCTAATTTATGAATTTTTTGAGGTTATGTTTTGACATTTAATTGAAAATCAAAACTGCCAACTTGAAATAATTAAAGTTTGACATAAAAATATAAACAAAGTAACATAACCACAATTTGAAACTAAATAAAAAATATAATATGCTTTATAATCAAAATGTTAATGTTGTTTTTGTTGTAAAAGTAATCATAAATTAGATTTTTAGCAACAAAGAATTTAATTAAAAAGATAAGCTATTTAAATATAAGAAAATATTAAAAATTTGATATAATTTCTTCATGATAAATTTGGTTTGACTAAAAGAGGCTTTTAATAATAAAGAAGTACCTAATTACGTCCTGATTTAAGGATGGTTTATTAATAGTTGTATTTAAAAATAAAAAAAATATCTAATTTGTGTATTAATTTTGAATAAAGAGGTTATGGATGGATTATTGGAAAATGATGAAAGATCGGATTTATAAAAAAACATATTTAAACCATTTTTCAGCTTTAATCTCATCAAATGTACCAATGTAAGTGAAAATATTTGTTGTATGTACGTTAATAATACAATATACATATAGTTTATTCAATATTTTACCCTCCTCGCATCTATTATTCTTTCTTTTCGATTAAAAATTAACACGATACGTAAATAATATTATTGAATTAATTAATACACAATAGTTCAATATTTTTTTTATATATATGTACACTTAAACCTCTATTTTTATCATCGTCAATTCAATTCGTAACTTCTTTTTTGATTTTTTGTATGTACAAAAGCAGAAGAAATAAATAATAATAATAATAAAAAGGAATTAATTAAAAAGTTATCTGTGTTCGATGTTTTCATTTTCTTTAAATTAATTCTTTAGATTTAAATAAAGATATCGTTGGTGTCCTTCTTTCAACTTTCGGCTTAAAAAATGAATTATATGAACAAAGTATATAAGGACTTATAGTTAAGTGTTAAAATTGATTTACGGATGAAAAACTTTTTTGTTGTTTGTAGATTGGGCTCAGTAAAATGTGTAGCCTGGAAAAATTAAAACCAAAATTATTCATCTCGCGAAATAAATTAATACCAAAATGATTAAAATTATTTTTATACAGTTAAAAGAGATTTTAAATAAAAAAGAAATTAATAAAACTTACCCAAACAAAAATAACCTTAAAACAAAAAACTTAAACCCCCCATTAAAAACATAACTTCTCTTAGATTACGACAAAAACGGATTGGCCGCCTGTGTTTCACCTTGTTTCATCCATGGGGCGCCCAAATTCGAATTGGTGGCCTGAACCGGCTTCCACGGATCTTGAATCGGCGGTTGTTGTGATTGAATTTGTTGGGTGCTCGCGCCAAAAACCGGCGACGGAGCGCCAAATTGTCCATTATTCGTATTAGCACCATAAGACCCAAAACCTAAACTATTTGGATTATATGCCGGATTTGATATTGGCGCCACCATCGGAGGTCCAAATGGGGCACTTTTAATCTCATTCATGGACGGTTTCGGAGCCGGAGTATTAAATATTTGTCTTTGAGCCGCTTGCGGTTGTTCCGAGAATGGATTCGGAGCTTGCGAGGAGTTCATTGGTTTACCTACAAACAATTTCAATTATTTATTTATTAAAATTAATTGAATTGTTTATTTCAGAAAGGGGCTAAGTAACATTTTTGACAATTTTGAGATAAGTTAATAGATCTAACATTAGAACCAGAAACATTTGGGTTTAGCTACTAGTTCTAGGTCTAGTGTTAATTCTAGTTTTAATTGTTATGCAGCGCTAGACCAAGAACTAGAATTATTTGGGTTTAGCCGTCTTAAGAAACTGTTGGAAAAAGAGTAATTATTGCTATCAGAAAATTAAATACTGGTAGTAAGACTAAAAACTGCTTGGAAAGAGGAAATACTATTTCAAAAAGTTACTTACTGCTTCTAAAATGCTAGATACTGCAGAAAAAGACCACAACTTACTTGGAAAAGACCAGATACTGTTTTCAAAATAACACCTATTGCTTCCAAAACGCTAAACACTGCTGTTAAAGGTTTTGACTTACTTGGACAAGCGGAATACTGCTTCAAAGACTACTTATTGCTTTCAAACAAGAAGAGATATGCTACCTCTGGAAGCTACCTACCGCTACCTGGAAGCTAACATTCTGGAAGCTACCTACCGCTTCCAGAATGTTAGATACTGCTGGAAAAGACTAATAACTGCATGGAAAGAAGAGATATGCTTCACAAAAAGCTACCTAATGCTGCCAGAATGCTAAATACTAATAACTACTTGGAAAGAAGAGATATGCTCTCCAAAAAAGGTATCTACTGCTTCCAAATTGCTAGATACTGGTGGAAAAGATTACAATTTGCTTGGAGAAGACTAAATAGTGCTAACAAACAACTACAAACTCATTGGAAAGACGAGATACTGCTTCCATAAGACAACTTATTGCTTTCAGAGCGCTATATACTATTAGAAAAGATTACGACCTGTTTGGAGAAGACTAAATACTGCTGGGAGAAACTACTATTTGCTTGGAAAAAAAAGATACTGTTTTCAAAAGACTATTAACTACTTACAGAATGCTAAATATTGCTGGAAAGACTACTAATTGTTTAAAAAAAGCTAAATATTGTTTCTTTTATTTTCAAGGTGATTCACATAAGAACCGACACAGAGCAGGGACATGTAGAGGACAATAAATTAAGATGATTTAACGTAACTTACTTCTACACTAAGTTGTACACCTGAGGAGTTATAGGGCTACAAAGTTGGCTCTTAAATTTTTTAAAAATTCAATATTTTCGTAGTACATTAAGCTAGAAAAGCCAAATTTGGTTATGAGTGTACCAAGGGTATTAATGGGTAGCAAATTGAACTCAATTAAGACATTTCAAACGGTTGATTAAATGATGAGTAAATTTCGACAGATTTTGTTAACCTTCTGGCGGATTTAATACATTACTACTTCATTTCATGTGGAATTTCATTCTAAAACTTTTCTTACTCTTATTAATTTTTAAAAAACTTTGTCGTTTTCATAAAAAAACTTAAATAACTAAAGACACGGATTTCGTAGTTACTTAAAATAAGCGAAAATTCAGTAGTCGGCTATGAAATTGTACGTCAAACTTAACAAATAGGTTATAAAGTTATTTGATGACATGTATTTGTCAAGTATATAGATAGATACTTTCTAGTTCTAGTTTTACACTAGCACCAGGGTATGATTTCTTGATAGGTATAAAATAAAGTCGGAATTTTAGTTACTATAACAATCCACTAGATGGCGATGCTATACACAATTTGCTGTGTAATTATTTATATATACCAGAAATCGACGTCAGTGTCATATGTCATAATGTTAACTTTACATTTCTTTTCCATAAAGAAGACATCACAAACTTTATAATAAATATGTTTGTAAAATTAATTTTGTTCAACTTTTGTAAAAGGATAAATAACATACAAAAGGTAAAACTAGAAAACTAAATTCTAAGAACACATTGGCTGTTCAAGTTGGTTATATTTTTTTAAAGAAAAAAAAATTTATTTAATAAACTATTGTGTTCTATTTATCAATTAAACTAAGAAGTGGAAACCTGAGTATAATTGAACTCAGGCATTGTATCATACATATGTATATATATATATATAAATATAACGAACACATTCAAATTTCGCGGTTTATTAAAATTACTTTTATTACAATCCCCTTGGCGGTGCTGCATTCAATTTGAAATACTATACTTCGTTCACGACTACTTTTGAAATTGATTCCATAAATCAAATACATTTTTGAATTAAATTTAAACGTCAATGTGACACAAATTCAATGGTACCAACTGTAACCAACTTCACAACAATTTGTCAAAATTAAACGTCAATTTTATGAAACGTCATAGGTATATTTTTTTATGAAAATTAATTAATTTATGCTTAAATCATACGAAAAAAGAATTTGTTTACGTTTTTTTAATGTCAAACCTTTAGAAGGTCCTAAAAATTAAATTAAATTGACATTTGTTGAAATTTTAACGTTTCAAATAATTATAATTAGTCTGTCAGTTATCGAGTTTTTAAAAATTTACGAATCTATCTAATTAGTGACGTAATTTATCTTTGGGTGCAAATTATTTAAACTATTTTTGTATTTTTGACAGGTGTTATGTGATCTGCATATCTGTATATGCAATTTGTAATAAAAAATGTCGTGAACACTCTTTAAATTGAAAAATATGTCTTTTTTTTACGTTTTTTTCAGTTTCTTAGTCCCTTTCTGAAATAATTCAATTAAATAAAAATTTCTTACTTGTAACCAAATTATCTAAATTAACCAAAGATGAATTTTCCCCTAAAAACGCGTGTGGCGTCTTTTTTGTGGCCCCGGTTGAAACATTAACACTCCCAATCGCATCTCCTAATAAATCAACCTCAAACGGATCATTTTTCGGCTCATTCCCATTCGTTTTCGGCGACGAATCGCGCTTCGTTTGGTTCCGATTTGAAATTATATCAAATTCGTCTAAATCGGTTGATGAAACGGGGCTTGTCGGACTCCAAGGATCGTGAGCTCTCGGCGGCAATTCCGGGACAACATTTTGAATCGTTTTAGAACTCCAAGGATCCGCTCCAAGACCTGGAGTTGGACTTAACGAGCTTGAAGGTAACCAAGGATCACCTATCGGAGGAGGCACCGGATGGTGATGATGATGATTAGGTGGAGAAATCGACGAGTTTGGATGCCAAGGGCTTGAATTCTAGTTAAAAAGAAAATAAATTTATTATTTTAAATTAAAATCTCCAAAGTACTCACTGAATCCTCAAACAAGTCTTCATCCGAAGACTTTTAAGCAGCATAAATTGTAATAAAATGTTTTTAACCCAAAATAAAATAAGCTAAAACGTTACCTGTTGTCTTGGTGGTTGGGGGATACCCCACGGGTCCACAGAAGCCCCGTCAGATAAATTAACATCCAATAAATCAACCATGTGACTATGTTTATCTTTATGGTGATGCTCTTGTTGTTGTCTAATAACAACCGATTAATTAATTAATAATAATAAATAAATCATAATTAAAAATTTACTTAAAATCTTGTTGACTCTGACTCAAAGCTAACTGTAATCTAACATCATCCGAACGTCTTTTTTGTTCTTCTTGTTCCGCTTCCTCCCGAGACATGGCTAAAGCCAATTGAAGCTGTAATTCTTCTTCGCCAGCTGTTTGGGGGCGCGCCACTTCTAAATCGCGAGGTAACTCACCCCCACTATCGCGACTATTGCTCCATTCGGAACCTCTAAAAGCTGGATATCGGGGGCTTGATGGGGTATCGAGACCTCCGTCGCTTCCAAATGCCGAGGCGGTTTGAGCAAAACGTTCCTTCGCCTTTAACGCACGAGCGCGTTCGTTTTTCAATTTCTCATCGTCCTGAAGTAAATTAGCAAGTTGTTTAGCTTTCTCGCGAACATTTTGACCTTGATCTTTACCTAAAATTAAAAACAATTAAATTTATTTCAATTTTTAATTTGATTTAAGTACCTTCTTCTAAATACTGAAAATCTTTTAATGTTTTAATCGCGAAAATATTCTCCTTGCATTGTTGCGCGACTTTTTCCGTTCCGGTTTTAATTAAATATTCCAACAGCACCAAAGCTTTGTAAACGTGCCGCCAATTTTTACCATGATCGTTCAATCGTTTCCAAATCATTTGCATAATTTCCGTGTACGCGACAACGTTGTAGGTTAAATCGGCGATTTCGGCCATAATCGTACTGCTTGGGCCCCATGGGTCATTCGAAGTCGCCTCGCGCACCTTTCTCTGAGCGTCCGAATAATTATGGGCGAGATTTTTCAGGTTACGCCTTAAGCCCGCCACGTTTACTTGCATTTCACTATTCCGACGCACTAAAATAACAGAAAAAAATGAATTAGATAAAAAAATTAGATAATAAAAAGTAAGGCTATAAAAAAAAATTGATACAAATTGTGGATTGAAGTCTTTCGGACTTACTTTTTACGCTAACTCGTTCAAAAATTCCTTATTTCTTGTAGATCTGCCAAAAAAACTTAGATTTAGACTCATTAAATAAGGCGACATGCTTTTAATTAGTCCCGTGTAGGTGTTAATTAAATTAGGGTTTAATGAAATTAATTAAATGAATAATTAGCATGCACCCGGTTGGTTAATTAATTAATTTTAGTATTAGTAGTTAACTAGTTAAAAATTAGAACTTACCCTATTTGTTACTTTTAATCAAAAAATGTTAAATGTCAAAATTGACATTTAATTTTTTTAGAACTAAATAAAAAAAAGTGCAACCAACCTTAAATAATTAAAAAAACTATTTGCATTTTTAAAGTAATTTGTTGTTAAAAAACATTATCACTGTGTCATGTGATTAATCATCACTATCAACACTTATTTATTTACTAAAAACACATTTATCGATTTTATCAATATTTTACATTGAATCAGATCGTTTAAATCGATAATAAACTTAAATTGAGGTCTTAAATGACTTAAAAATTGTAATTAAGTTTAAAAATGTTACTTGGAAATTGATATTCGAAGAAATTCGTGTTGATTCGATGACCTTGGTGAATTATTTACGTTTTTAAAACGGAACAAAAATAACTGAGTCCTTTATTCAATTAGAAAGCTACAGGAGAAAAAACTTTCTCGGACGATTTAAACAAAGTAAATAAAAATTTGGTTAGATAAAATATAGATAACGTTAAGATAATGCAGATAAGAGAATAAAACAGTAAAATTTCCAGGAAAATAGAATTAATAATGACGTTTTTAATTTCGTGAATAATCGGATTAAGAAAGGAAAAATCCATATTTAAACTTGGAGGGTTTTAAATTACGATGTTTTATATGATTAAACGTTGTAAATAAATCGAAAACGTACAAAAAACTCACAAAACAGTTAGATGGGTTACAACTTACATCGTTTTAAGGTTGGCCTAAAAACCCTTTTTGAGCTTTATTTAGTGCTTTAACCGTTTAATAATGCACCCGTTGATAACACGGCCTATTTCACACAATAATCACTTAAAACTATTAATTATTTAATGATATTTTTATACTTTTTGAACAATTAAATCCTTTTAGAGCGACACTTAACATTCTTCTGAACTTTTTGACAAGTTGGAGGATTTTACAAATATGGCGACCTATGTTCAAATGATCTAAATTTCAATTTGTATAAACTTCATTATTGCTAAAACGAATTCGTACCAATTAAAATAAAAAAATTAATAACAAATAAAATTAAATTGTAAGTAATAAAGTAATTCTTTTAATAATTAAGTTTTATTTTAAAATTATTTTATTCCTATAAAAATATAACCTCAAAAATCATTTTTTTAAAATAAATTTAATGTTAATACTTAAAAACAACATTTTATTCATCAACAGGACTCTCGTTCGAAGCGCTAACACTAACCGTAGGTAAATAATAAGCTTTAATCACACCGTGTAATCGGGCAACTTCAGCTTCTTCTCTCTCCAAGCTTCGTAACATTTGTGCAAACTTAACAATACCTTCACGTCCCTCGGGAAACCCGAAATCTTTTAAAACATCCATTTGTACTTGCATCACAATCGGAAACAAAAACTGCATCATTTTTAACATTTCATTACCGACGTTTCCCCGGGCTTCTTCCAATTTTTTCGTATTTTCCGACGATTGCAGCTCGTTTATCGTCTTTTGAAGTATTTCAATCGCCGTTTCGGTCGTTAACGTCGGAATCGAATCAATTTTAGACATTTTTAAGTGATAAATCAACTAAAATAAACTTTGTTTTGGTGTTTCAGAGGAATCTTTAGCGATTTAGGGGAATTTAACACTATTTAGGGGAATTTTAGTTAGTTTTTTGACACATGTCAAAAAGTAATCATAAAATTTACTAAAAATAGTTTATTTTATGATTATTATTATTACAAAATACATTTATTTCTTAGTTTTAAATAAATCTAATTCACTCGAAACCTGAGAGTTGTTGACTAAGACACGCGTATATATTTGTATACATATTTGGTACATAAAGTTTCTTTATTGCTAGGCACAAACAGCTGATTAAAAACTTAATATATAGAATCGACTGTGTGTGCCTAGCCTAAATAAATAAGAAATCTTTGTAATCAAGGAATGTTAATTAATTTTTTTTAAGTACTCACGGTAATCTTAAAAATTAATTCATATTTATTTATTTAATCACTGCCTTGCGCTTCTTTCCGTTTCCACCAAACATTCCCTAACTAATATTCTCGCCTGTACGATGCCCCTTTTTAATCTCTCAGCCGAACTTCGACTTCCAGCGTACGTAGGGCGCACTTCCCTACCCATCTCCTCAATAACCCCCAATAATTGAGCGTATTTCGATTGATTCGGTTGTTGGGTTTGATTCGTTTTTCCTTGAACGGGAACTGCAGTTACTGTTACATCACTTAATTTTGATTCAACGGCTTGGATGTCAACGGTTTCCATTTTTTGAGGTTATGTTTAGTTTCGTTGAAATAATTTTTTCTCTCGAAGCATTAAGTTGGGGTTAATTTAATTAATTCGCTTCTTTTTTAATCGATTTGTAATGTATTATCGGATTTTTAATAAAAGATGAAATTAAGTGAAATAATTTGGTTAACGGTTTTTTTTTGACAGAAAAGTGACATTATTAAGTAAACTAATGTGAAGTTGGCGTTTTAAGCCAAATTAATTTAATTCTAATTGAATTAACTTTATTTAATTAATTATTTAATTTTAATTTAAAAATTGATCAATATATTAAAATTAAAACGTAAATTTTTTTTAAGAACGTTGAAGTAGCCCCATCTCTAATAATTTGGTGTTACTACATATGAATTAATGACGTGAATTTTACAGTTTTCTGTAAATTGTTTAATAAATAAATAATTTCTTTTTGATATCATTAAAAATGTATAGTAATTACAACCATCAGTAAAAGCTCTACAAATAAACCTTGGGTTTTGAAAAGCTTTTTTCGATACTCACATAAAATAACGTTTATCTACATTGGGATTTGTTTGTTAAAGCATTAAAACGTTTGTGTAGTACCAGAAAAGTATGTTAATGATATCAGCGATAATTGGCACATTGTTGAAGTTAATTGTGTGCAGGAGATAATTTATTGATTATCAGCTCATAAATAAATCTGCCAATTTGACTTAAAAATTGTTTGTTTATATTTATGAGGTTATTTAACGATTTATTTCTTTTATGCAACTTCCAGATGGTTTTGTGGATGCTCAAAAAAATGCGATTGCCTCTATCAATCAAAAAGTTTCATGAATTCATCAAAACCTTTTCAAGTCATTCTTTTTAGTAAAACATTGCGTAGGTGCACAATGGAATTTGTTGGAGTCCCATTGATAAATTTCCGGTTATACAAGAAATACAAAAAGTGTTACCTCAACGATGTCGTCGGCGTCGTCGACGTCGTTGTTGGGATTGGTCGGCGTCGCGTTTTCGTTTCGAAGCGCGGGATTGGACGCAGGTTCGCTTTTCTATATTAAAAGGGGTGAAGCGCTTTTGGCGCGTTTTAGTTCAACACCTAGCACCTGCGAGGATCGCAGAACACCACAAATTAAAGCTGAAACGAACGAGGTCTCTCTTAAACATCTCTCCAAGTACCTAAAAAGAAGAATACGATTAAGAGTCTGAAGAAAAATCGAAAAAGTTTGTTCATTTAAGGTAAGAAAAAAAAATTTATCCGGCTCCTCCACCAAAAATATAAAAAAGCACTTTGCTTATTGCTTAATATTGATCATTTTGAATCATAAAAAATGCATTTTGTTTCGAAACTATCAAATAGCTTGTTAATTTAAGTCATCAAAGTTAATTAATAATGTAAAATTCGCTTACCAATTCATTGGTTGCCCACGAGAGAGTGCACTCAAGTATTCTTATAAATTTTTGATTCCATTTTCTATTTATAACGATATCTGCAACAATGAAAAAAAAATGAAAAATGGAAGAATATCACCCCAAAGGCAATCTTTCCCATTCACTGCAAGAACAACAACTTTTCGTGAGCACAATTTCCAACAAAAAAGAAAAAAATAATAATAATAGTAACAGACAATTTTCTCGGAGCTTTTCTATTTTGAAAAGTTGGCGAGAAAATGCGGGTACAAAACGCAGAAAGCGTAAAATTACTCGCAAATAGACGAAAAGATAGGCGAAAGAAGGAAATTGAGCAGTTATTTGAAAACGGCGACGTTTTCAAAATTGTAAAATAAAAGAATTTTCTTCTTCAAAAATAAGTTTCGAAGTAATTAGAAAACTTTATGAATTACCCCCAATTCTAATTCACAACATTTCCGACTTATCCAAGTTATTAAAGTCAATTAAGTACAGTTTCTTTATCTCGCGATAAAGCATTGTTTCATTCGAATTTGAAGTGCATTAAATAAATTTTGTTGAAAGCAATAAATCCGGGTAAATTTATAAATTGTCGAATCAGCTATACTATAAACTAGTTCCTTTCGAAACGTTCAATTTCAAAAGGAAAATCTCGACTGGAATATAGATGTCTTTTAAATCGTATCTTAGAATTTATCGTGACCGTTCAAACACGACAAATTCTTTTCGTAACAAAAATATAAATAAAATGACTCGAATCGAAACTTATTAATATTTCCGTAAACCACGTGGCTTATTTTATTATAAGCGAAAACTAAATTCTAATCTAAATCGGATTAAAACGATCAACTACGCATTTCATTTACATACATAATCCTTGTTATAATTATAACCTAAAACGTATCGATCTTGCGAAATCTTTAACTGCTAAATTAGCGTTATTTTTAAATTTTTTCGAATTTGAGATAAATTTATTCAAAAAAATATCAACCGGGATGGATATGAATGGTTTATAAATGGATTTGACTCGGTTACAATGGAAAACGATGATTGTGTGATGAAATGTGAGCTTAATGAACCAATTTTTTTACTGAAAACACTCCCAAATTTGCTTTAGAAAATAACGAGGATGGATCGATTGATTGAATTTTTTTTGCTTTGTTATGATTAATTTATCAATTTTTTATTATTAAAATTATAAATGATTTAATTATTAAAAATTCTTAATCTCCATTAAAAATTCTTTAAAATGAGACCAAACACGATGATATTATTTTTAAAACCAACCCAGATATTATTATTTAAAAATGCCGATCGTCATTTGTTTTTTTTTTTTAATTTTAATTAAGGATACGAGATAATAAAGTTATTATTTGGATATCAACTTCCATTTTCTTTTTGGTTCAGTTCCTAACGTGACATGAGTCATAATCTAATATGTCAAAAACCCTAATAAAAGTAATATTGAGAGATATTTGAGATGATGTAAACGATTAACGTGGATATTGAAAGTTGTTTCATGTTATAATCTTGGTTTAATAATGTTGAAGAGTGTCCGAGACGTTGTTGAGAGACGGATTGATATTAATGGTTGGTAGAAACGGTTTTAAGTATTTTCCAGAACGATGTTGGTGGATGTTGATGGTGAGTATACCGGGTATTCACTATCAACATAGTTTTACACTAGCATTATCACTAGAACTAAAATCATTCGGATTTAGCCGCACGTCTCTAAAGACGGCTAAACCATATGTCCAAAATGCGGTCGTTTGACATCTCAATATCGTATTTGGCTTTCATCGACTATGATATACTTTGACGTTGTCCGTATTATCAGCTTCCTTAAACATCATTTACAATAGTCCTGAACAACACTTTTGGTTTTCTTCAACATCGTCTCTTGTCATGGTATATCAAAACTTTCAAAATGCTTCTAAATATGTATTCTGGAATCTATATCGTTCAATTTCTCGATGACATCATAACATTGAACTTAAAATCGCTTAAAAAACAGAAATTTTTCAATGCGGTTTTGCTGTGGGATTAAGATCGCTTAAAAGTATTAAAATTGTAATAAATACCTTAAAATTTAGTCAAAATCCAATTTGAATTAGTTAAAAATTTCCTGAAATTCATTTTAAATTGTTTTGATTTCACTCAAAAACCTTAAAACGCTTTTGACATTTTATAATCGTTGAAATCTACTTGGTTGCTTAGCAACGGCAATCCGGCAACCTAAATTTTTTACTCTAAATGTAACCAAACAAAAATTATTTATGAAATTAAATAACAAAATAATTATTTATTGGGTTAAATTAGACCTTTAATCTTTTTGGTTTTATTTTTAAAATGCTCCTAAATATGTATTCTGGAATCTATAATATCTTTCTTTCAATACTGTCTATGACATCGTCCTTGACCTATCTCGATGACATCATAACATATTTTTGCTCTTCCTCAATTTCGCCATTGACATTTAACGTTGTCCCTGGGTTCGTTCCATATCGTTTATTGTATACCTCAATATAATTCCTAGCTTTCCTTAATATTGTCTAAGACAACTTTTAAGATTATTGCTACCCTTCATCAATATTTGTCTCAATTTTCTTCAATATAGTCTCAAGCATCTCCCAACATCATCTCTAGCCTCCCTCAACTTCGTATGTTATAATTTACAACATGATTCCTCGCCTCCGTCAATATTGACTTTCGTTAATATCGTTGTTCATTCCAAAAAAATTTTTCGTGATATCTATTAACATCGTTTTATACTTCGCTCAACATTGTAGTTAGCTATCATCATGGGATTGCTAGGAGCTTTTTTGTTAAGGTGTTCATCATGTCATTAACTACCAGGCACCATAGGAGAGGTGAGAGCACTTAATAGTCAACTCGCCTCCCAGACTGGCTGTGATCTGCCAGACCATTTGATAGTTTGATCTTTTACATTTAGAGCATTCTCTCTGGATTCGTAGGGGGTGTTATCAAAAACTATTATTTCAATGTGGTCAATTCCCAAGGGAGTCATTTTCTCAGTTAATGACGAAATTCCTCTTATCCGTTTTTATAGATATAAATCTTCATGTCTTGGTTCACATCTTAATAAATTAGTAATTTTAGTGGAGCTATCCATAATTTCCATCGTTGTAACTAAAAAATAAAAATATTTTTAATAAATATAAAATAACTGAGATATGATTTATTCTTAATTTTTAAAGTAACCAATATCCTGGTGAATAATACAAAAAGAAAGAATGTGTGAAGGAGAGATTAATTTCTTTTTCCTTAATTATATCCAAAAGATTCCAACCGTGACGGTTTCAAGCGAAAATCTCTTCTGGTTAGTTCGCATTCGGATTCTTTTTATTGTTACATTGTGTCGGTAAAGAGAGTTGTAAATTAAAAACCGCGTTACAACAGGAAACAAGCAAACGGGAAATACCCGTGTTCTTCAGAACGTTACAACACCGAGCCGCCGTTCCTGCTTTTTGTTTCGCCGGTTCCCGACGACAATCCTGTTAGCGACCAACACGTGTGCACCGCCCGGGAATACAATTTCAACGATTTTTCTCTAAAACCTTAATTTTCAAATTTTGATTTGAATTTTCTTTATACATAGATTTTATTAAATTTATTGTAACGTAAATAAAGAACAGCGTAATCAGTGTGTATTTATCTCGAGAGCAAAAGGATTTTTGTTGATCCCAGTAAAGTAGCGGAAAATGTAACTCCACAATTTCTAAGTCAAATATTTTTCAGGTCTCGTATTTACAATTCAAACCGTGAAAAATGGAATTTTTCGATACGTTTGCACAGGTGCATCTGGAATTTAAACAAACAAAACGTAAAAACAGATTTTTATCTTTGAAATGGAATAAATAAAAAATCTTTTTGTTTATAAGAAAATGCTTTACACTTACTTAGTAGTGAATTGTTAAAATCGATATGAAAACGTAAAGAAATCTAGAGTTTTAATCGGTGGCGTGAGCTTGTGTTGGCATATTAAACCATTTAATTACAGATTTTTTTTTATCGATAAAGATTAACAAGATTTCGAGGATTTAATATAAATTAAATAAAGTTTATAAAATCAATTTTCGATTTATTACTTTATGATTGTTTCTTCTTTAACTTGTGTAAGTTGTGTAATGATTATTGGAAGTCAAGGACGTGAAAACAAATCGTAGAAAATAAATCGAGCGACCACAACTTCAAAAACTCTCGGCAACTATTAAAGAGTTTGATTGGCATTTTCTTTGTATTTTGCGCTACGGTTAGCAGCTTCGTTGTGCGTGTTCGTGCAGGTTCTCTTTTACATTTAGTATCCAGTTTGTAAAATTTGAATAACACGCAATCTTAAAAAAAAAATGTAATTCAATGACGTACGAATTTTAAAAAGGAAAAATATATTAATATTTTTCACGATAACTTTTTAATAATAATTTTTGGAAACGTAAATGAGAAGGAGTTTATTAATTTTTTATGGTTTTTTAAAAAAATTTCCATTTTAATAAAATTTTTTGCTTGTTTTAGTGTGAGGCGAGACACTTTAAGTTATTCAATTGAATTTCATTTGCGTAATAAAACGATATTTCCACATTTTTCTTTCTCTTTTTTTTACTTTTACTTACTTTATCTTACATTTTATTTTCAGACGTGATTGAAACTGCTCGATTTTTCTTCTTGTTCGATTTAATTATTCGAAACTCTTAATTTATCGACTTTGAAACTGAAAATTTTACTGGTAATAAAGAATAATTTCATAATGTGAGGTTAGGATTGCTTAAAACGATTAAAAAAATAAAATTGTAATAAATACCTTAAAATTTAGTCAAAATCCAATTTGAATTAGTTAAAAATTTCCTTAAATTCATTTTAAATCGTTTTGATTTCACTCAAAAACCTTGAAACACTTTTGACACTTTCTTTATAATCATTGAAATCTACTTGGTTGCTTAGCAACGGCAATCCGGCAACCTAAATCTTTTACTCTAAATGTAACCAAACAAAAATTATTTATGGAATTAAATAACAAAATAATTATTTATTGGGTTAAACTAGATCTTAAATCACCTCGATTTTATTTTTAATTAAGAAAATTTAACAGCTTTTAACCTTAAAATCGCTTAAAAAAACAGAAATTTCTCAATGCGGTTTTGCTGTGAGGTTAAGATCGTTTAAAACGATTAAAATTGTAATAAATACCTTAATATTTAGTAAGAATCCAATTTAAATTAGTTAAAAATATCCTTAAAATCGTTTAAAATCATTTGATTTCACTCAAAAACCTGAAATGCTTTTGACATTATCTTTATTATCGTCGAAATGTACTTGGTTGCTTAGCAACGCCAATCCGGCAACTTAATTTATTTCAACATAACCTAACAAAAATGAAATTTAATAGAAAAAGAATGGTATAAAAGCATCTTGATGTTTTTTTTTGTTATTAAGAACTCGAAATAATTAAAAAGAGATCCGCAATTTTAGATAAAGTTCCGTCACAATACCCGAACACATAAAGCTTTCGGTTAGAAAAGAGAAAAAGCTTTTCTACTATTGTACCTAAAGCATTTTTCCTTTTTTTGTATTAACTTTGTAAACCGAACTATAATTTCATTTAATTCTGTGTTTATTAAAGCAGGGAAGACTAAGATAAGTCAATTAAATCATTAAATCGGCCGGATAAGCATTTTATCTTCATCCCCTTTTTCCATCTTTTCTCTGTCCAATTTTTTTTGCAATTTTTGTGTTAAAGCCCGTCCACAACAGTGCGGTTATTACTCAGGTGAGCTACAAAATAAAGATTAAAAGATTAAAGAGAACCCGCCCTTTCTGATCTTTCAATCTCCATTTTCCAAAAAAAGGCGAAATGAACCGGATGAAAGGTGAAACCTTTCCTTATCGTCGAGTGTTAAACGTGTCCCGAATACTAGAACCGAATTAGAAGCAATAAACAATTTAAATAAAGTGCGAAGATGTGAAAAGAATTTATTAAAGTCATAAAGAAATAAAGTTTCGTCCAATTTTATTCTAACCTAAAAAAAGAATTGATTAATTTTGGTTTGATGGATTTATAGTTTATGGATGATCGCAGTTATTTTGAAAGATAAAGTGCTTTTAGGGTCTACATAGATATAGAATGTGGTGGATGCATTGGAAGAACGAAAGCGCGATGTAAAACTGAATTGACGGCATTAATAAAACTGCAACCTCATTTCCCATCGATTTAAAAATAACCTGAATCGCCCCTCTGGTGGTGGTCTCTAATCGCAACGATTTATAACGAAAAAAAAATAGATTGAAAAAGTTAAAGTTAATTATTTTTAGTATTTTCATTTTTCTCGCAGTGCGTTTGATTTAAAGTGAATCGCGGAAAACGAGGTGAAATACGAACAGGATACGTGTTAACACGTGGCACAGCGACAGTTTGAGATAATAAATTTTAAATGCAACTTCTCAGCTGGGTATCGAGGCACGGGGCGTACGCACGTGTACGAATATCTCAACGACATATACGATTACATACGTTTTAATTGATATTTGCGAGATTAAATGAAAAAATGCTGTTACTAAAAGGACATTATCTTAAAATCACATCAAAATAAGTTGACTCAAATTTACATTAAACTATAAATCAGCGTCACTTTCATAAAACACTCTGAAGCTGTCAGAAATCGTCTCTCAGAAATAGTACATCTAGTTCTAACTTTAGTGTTAGTCCAATAAAAATATACAATAATACGCTAAACAACAATTAAAACTAGAAATAACACTAGACACTATTTAGGTTAAAAATAAAAAAGTTAGGTTTGATAATGTCAAACATCAATATTAAATATAACGATTTTTTTGATAATTAATATTGAAATGATCTTAATAGGAATCGAAAATGCTTTAATTTGATACCAAACATGATATATTTGGGATAAAAAAAAAGTTAGGTTAGAAGCTGTCAAATGTCAAAATTAAATATAACGATTTTTTGATAAATATTGAAATGATCTTAATAGGAATCCAAAATGCTTTAATTTGATACCAAATATGATATAATTGGGTTAAAAAATAAAAAAGTTAGGTTAAAAACTGTCAAATGTCAAAATTAAATATAACGATTTTTTGATAAATATTGAAATGATCTTAATAAGAATCAAAAATGCTTTAATTTG